TCACTAAAACGAGTCTCACGTGTGATCATTATAAAAATGACATACATATATATCCATATATATTCACTTCCAAGAAAAAAAAAAAAAAACACAGATAACACAGCCGATTATTTCTTGTATTCAAATACTAATTAGATATTCAGTTCATAAATTTAAAATTATAATTCAAAATTATTATCAACTTACGCGTATTTTTTTTTAAATGAAAGACGTACATTCAAAACAAATTTTCGTACTAAACATACACAGGCTATGACTTGTTTCGGCGTACAACATTACCCTTAAGAAAAACGTACAATCCAAACTTGAAAGAAATCCACTACAGCGTAACAGCAGTGGATTATTCCCACAAAAAATGTACACTCACATTGTACTCTTCTGGTCCAACCAATCAACATTTTCCCAACCCAGTTTCCCAATTTTACCCCTGGAAGTAACAAAAAAAAAATTTCCCAATCGATACGGGACGATCATCGACGACGAGATTCAACCAATTCAAAAGCTGGCTCTTTTGAGAGAGGTCACCGTAACGGCGGAACCTAAGGCCGACGTACCAACCTCTATCTCGAACGAGTCGTATAGGAGGAACAACTCCACCACCAGCAGCCTCGAGAACAGCACCACCAAATCCTTCCCTGCGCACTGCTTGTTCCCCACCGTAGGAGATTCCGTCTCGGGTCCGTTCGACCAAAGCACGTGCTTCAACAGCCTCTCGCCTTCCTCCCCGACAAACCTGTCTGGAACGAACTCCTCGGCCCTGTCGAAGATCTTCGGGTCCTTCGTCGCGAACGGTTGGTAACCGAATATCATCTCCCCCTCTTTGATCTCGAACGCCGCGTCGTGACTCTCGATCACGAAGTCCCTCTTCGCCTTCCCGAACTGCAACGAAACGGGGGGTTCGATCCGGAGAGATTCATATACGACGGACTTCATCAGCGGCATTTGCTCCATCGCCGCCATCGTGACTTTCCCGCCGTTGGATCTGACGACGGTCCTGATCTCCCTCGCCAACTCTGTGTGGAGCTTGACTCCGGCTCGGCCAATCTGTTTCAGCATGTTAGGGAATAGGATCTTCATCCCGCCGAAGGAATTGAAGCACGTGGCGAATAGCAAGTTGTGACACGCCTCCTCCCTCGAGATTCCCAGCCTCTCGGCCTCGTCCAGCACGTGTCCAGACGACTCGTAGAAGAAGTCGTAGAGCCTCTGGTAATCGGATTTCACCAGAAACGGCGGAAGCCGGAACGAGTGGAGCGTCAGTTCCTCGACGAATTTGGGTAGACCGAGGACAAGGATCGGACTCAGTTGGAAAACAACCCATTTCTGGACCAAACCCGGGCCGTCGTTTCCTAGCTTCGTGTCGGCGGGGTTGGTCCCGTAAAGAGCGCGGGACAAGAAGTTGAAGGCGGCTTGGTCGTTGGCTTCGCCGAAGTTGCTCTTCCCTTTAGCGGCGAGCTCGCTTTCCAAGGTCTCGAAGAGCTCGGTGTAGCTGGAGTGGAACTCAGGGATCACCTTGTCGCGGCGAGACTTGAGGAGGAAGAAAATCAGGCTCTTGATTTTGCCGTGGTTCGGCTCCGACGGGTCGAGATATGAAAGGACTCGATAGCCGCCGGTGAGATCCGTTGACGGCATGAAAGTACCCGTGAAGAGGTCCTTCTTCTCGACCTTCGTCACGTCGAAGAGAACCGGGAAGCTCTTGCCGTCGAGTAAGACGATCACGCGCGGATTCGAGGTGATGAGTGGGCCCGGTGGTATATTGGCTCTGAAAACCGTTGACTGGTATTTCTGGATGCGGGATTTGAAGTACTCGTCTCTCCCTTGGTTGTAGAAGTAGTCAAGCCGATCGGCGACCGGACCGATAAATGGGAGACCGTATTTTCCGGGGATTTTTCTGATCGGAAGTTTCGACGGTTCGTGCTGTTCTACCGCCGCTGGTGGGACCGGTACAGATGATTTCTCGGAGACAGAGGCATGTATTGGAAAAGAAACGAAACGGCGATTGGATCGCTTGTGCGATTTTCGCGATGATCGGAACTGGGGTTGAAGAGAGGGGAAAGCAAGAGAAGTGGAAGCCATTGTGGGCTTTGAGAGTTGAAAACTCAAGTCTGACTGACTCTTTGTTTTGTTGTAAAGAAGAAAGGGCAGAGAAGTAAAATCAAGCGACGATGATTTGATGATTTGATGATTTGTTTTAGAGGTTTGGTGTGTCAAGTTATTTATGGTGTATTTATAGCAAATTGTGGCTGCAGTGTGAGTGGTTAATGGTGGGGTTGAATTCCCAAAAAGCCTTGAATTTAGAGAGGGGTCGTGAAAGGTGTGCTTTAATTGTCTTCTTTTTTTTTGTTTATTTTTTTGCGATGTGTTTCTTTTAGGAGCAATTGTTCTAACCGGGTTAAATCCTTGCTTACTTATAAAAAAAATAATCTTGATAAATATGTTTTAAAAATATATAAATATATAAATTAATATTTTTATTTTTTATTTGTTATTTATAATTTTTTTAATTAATTAATTACACTAATAAAAAAATATTTATTAAAAATAAAAAATTTAAATTTAAATTCGTACACTTTTAAAAATAAATTTTCTATTTTTTTATAAAAAAAATGAGTATCTTAATTTCACATAAATCGCTAATTGGACCCACTCTCTGTTAGAGAGTGGGTATAACCCATCAAGTTATAGACAATATTTTTCTTCTTTTACTAAGTTTTTTTTTTCGTTGATTTTCTTTTTTTAATTGTTGGATGTTGTTTGTAGAGTTGGCCGGAGCTAATGTTTTCGGTATTTGCAACAGTTTAGGAAAAAAACAAAAAAGGAAAAAAAAATAAAATAAAAGAGAAATCTAGTCAGCCATTCACTTCCCCTATACGTATCTGCAATGGCTTTTTCACGTTCAACGAGTGAGCGTTTACGCGTCAAGAATTTTATGACAAGTGTTTTTCCTTTTGTGAAATTTTTGTTAGTGTTTTCTTTTTCTTATGCTGAAATTTTGGAATTGTCTTTTGCTTTCTCTTCTTTTTTGGTTAACTAGTTGAAAAGCATTACGCAGGTGCGTCTTTAGTTTTTACGGGCCATTGGGATAATTTGTACTTGTATTTTTAAGTAGTAAAAAAAAACATAAATTAGGACTTTTTAAAGGTTTTATTCATTTTATCGATTTAAGTTTAGAATTTGAGTTTGCTACAGTAAAAAGTTCTCAAAAACAGTTATATCTAACTTTTTTATTACAGTAAAAAATTCTCACATAAAGTCACATCTCAACTCGAATTTGTGAACTAAACGGGCCCTTAGTGTTTGGATAGTGTCTAAAAAAGTACTTTTATATCTAAAAAGAGCTTTTAAACATGTTTAGGTAAAAAAAATTAAAAGCACTTATTGTTATAAAAAATAATGTAATAAAAGGATATAAATGAGATATTTAATTTGTTATTCACGAATAAAAGGTTAAAAATGTAAATAAAAAAGTTTTTTATAAGCATTTTTTCATAAGTAGTAAGGAGATGACTTGTTCCATAAGTAGTTAAAAAAATTAAAACCATTTTAAAGTTGTCTATCCAAACAGGTCCAAAAGTGACTTTTGGACTAAATAAGTCAAAAGCAACTTGTTTTAAGCTAATCTAAATAGGCCCTAAAATTCATCTAAATATACGAATAAATTTCTTTTAAGTTTACTTATTTATTGTTAATTTATTCAAGTTTAAAATATGGTAAATATATATATATATATATTTAAATAGAACAGATTTGAAGAAAAAAATAGTTAGACAAAATTAAGTAGTAAATTATTTAGGATATACGTTTGAAAAAAATTGAATTTGATAGGCATAGAAGAAATATATATTTGTGACCATATTTGAGGGGGGGAAAAAAAAACTTATGTTAGTAGCACAATTAGGAAAGGGTATATTGTGAAAAAAAATGTTGCAATATAGATAGAAGGGAAAAAAAACAAAGAATGACAAAAAGAATAAAAATAAATAAAAACAATGAAGCACTAAAAAAACAAAAAACAAGATTAGCAAAAACAAATAAAAATTAAAAACAGAGTAATGAGTAAAAGGAAAAAAAGAAAAAAAAGGACAAAAAAAATAAGGGACTGAAAGACAAAGAATAAAAGTCACCTGAGGCTAACTTGGATGGTAAAGTGTGTGTGCGGGTGTGTGGCGAACAGGGTTCAAATCCTGACGGTGAGTGTAATAAGTAGCTCTGTCATATTAAAAAAAAATATTAAAAATAAAAAAGAAGAGCTCATACAACCAGTGGTGGAACTTTGGGTCGGTGGGCCTGCCCGAGACCCAAATTTTTCAGGCTCGGCGGGCAGGGACCCACGGCCACCCCTCCACGCACTAAGGCGGGCTCAGGCTGCCCGAGAAACAACGCCATGGCGGAAGCTTGCCCCCGATTTGCCTGTCCCGACCGTCGACCGTCGATTTTTTTTATTTTTTTTTAAATTTTTTCCATCTGGCCTGAATTTGAGCCAGAATACCTGAATTGCTCGAAGCTCGCCCAACAGCTAGTTTTTTCAAAATTTTCTCTCAGCCCGACCCGCCACCGGAGAGCCCGACCTCCAACGGGTCTTTTTTTTTACTGTTGCCCAATTTTCAGCCCAAACTCGACCCGCTGAATTTGAAAGTAGCCGTTGGATTTGAATTTTGGGGGAAAAATCAATTTTTTAACACCAAAAATTTTCTGTAAATACCCCACATCCCCCAAATATTCTCACAATTTTTATATAATGGATTCTTTTGATTATGGTGATATTCATGTTGATGCCCAAGTCCAACAAAATGTGGAAGTATGGTAATTTCCTACTAATGAATTTATATTGTAGGAATCGCAAACACAACCAACTGAGGAACCTGTAAATCTGAGTTGTGGTGGACGTAGTAGAGGTCGTGATTGCAATGGTGGTAGGCGTGGAGGAGAGGCAAGTGCAAGTACTACTGCAAGTGTCGCAAGCTCTAAGAGAAAATGCAAGCGCACCTCGACAGTTTAGGGGCACTTCGACACAATTGAGGAGGTCGACAATGACGGTAATACTAAACACATAGCTCAATGTAAATATTACTTTTTTAAATTTCAAGGTGACACTATTCACGGTACAACACACTTGAGAAGACACTCTGAAAAGTGTCTTCAAAAGCGTGGCCAAACCGGCGGAGCCGAACTCCACCAAATACAATTATCTTGTGATCGCACAACTGGTGGTCTAACCACTTAGAAATACGATCCGCAAGTAGATCGTATGGAAGTTATGCGAATGATAGCTGCACTAGATCAACCACTTAGTTTTGTAGAGCATCCTAATTGGCAGCGATATATTAAAGTTATGCATAATCCTAATGCACAGTTTACTTTAAAAACTACTCTTAGGAAAGATTTTTTAAAAGTATTTAAAAAAGAAAAAGAAGCATTAATAAACCTTTTGCACTCTACTAGCGGTTGCGTTGTGTTAACGGTAGACATTTAGTCTGCCGTTGCCAACAAAGATTATTTAGCTGTAACCGGACATTACTTTAAGGGTTTCGATTTAGATAAGAGAATATTATATTTTAAATGTGTTCTAGGATCACATAGCACCGATTTAATATATAATACAATTTTAAATGTAATTGATAAATATATATTAAGAGATAAAGTGATGGCTATAACATTAGATAATACTAGTGCAAATACAAAAGTAATTGAGTATTTCAAAAATGATTTAAGTTTATTTGGTGATGGTACTATTTTTTACCAATGTTGTGCATGCCACATAATTAATTTAATAGTTAAATCCGATTTAAAATCAATGTCTATTCATATAAAAGTAATTAGAGATAGTATTGCATGGATTCAAGGTAGTAACCCACACGAACAAGATTGGTTTAGGTTCTTTCAAGCACTAAATCTAACTCCTAAAGCATTAGCATTAGATATGCTTGTAAGATGGAATTCAACTTATATAATGCTTCAACAATGCATCTCCTATAAGGATGCTATGACAAACTATATTAGTGCAAAATTAGGAGCAGGTCATATAGACGCATATGATTGGCAAATTGTCAAAACTTTGTATCCATTTTTAGGTAGGTTTCATAAAGTTACTTTAAAACTTAGTGGAACCTATTACCCAACATCACCTTTAACTTTAGGTGAACTGTTAAGAATTAGTACTTTATTTAGTGAATATAGGAAGGACCCAATTTTAGAAGTTCCTATCGCTTTTATGGAAAAAAATTAAAAAAAAATGGTTTAAATTGCCAAATTTGTATGGTTTTGGTACTATTTTTTATCCTGGATTAAAATTAGAAGGTTTAGAAAGTGGTTTAGAAAACTTAAGTCTATTTTTAGGCATCGATTGTTCTGACCAATTTCTTAAAATAAGGGAAAAAATATTTTCTCTCTATAGCAAATATGAGAATAGGTTTAGAAATACAAATTCTGGAGTACAGGAATCACAACAAAGAGATGAAAACCCGCATTCATTCTTGAATGTTTTTGGATTGAAGAAGAAGAAGAAGACGATTCAAACAGAAGCTGGGAATGGATCTTCATCAACAGGTGGTGGCGGCTTCAACGAGCTTATGGCGTACCTTAGCGAGAGCTTAGTAGTCGACGGTAGTGGAGAATCGGTTGACTTAGTTCAATGGTGGAGGGCACAAGCATTAACTTGGGAAGTCCTAACTCGATTGGCAATGAATATTTTTTCGATCCCAGTTTTCATTGTTTCATCCGAACAAGCCTTTAGTACGACTGGATGAATACTTGAGAAACGCTGAAACGCATTGCAAAGGGACATTGTTAAAGCCTTGGTCTGCATTAATGATTGAGAATTTGGGATCGTGCCGATCAACATTTACAAGATACAATAATGGATCGATGAATTTAATAGATTAACATTTAATTTTGAAGACGATCCTTCAGCTTCAAATTAAATTGTAATTTGTAAATATGTATTTACTTTCGACATTGTAATTGTATATTTAGACTTTGTAAGTTTGTAAAATTTGTAATTCGTTACAAAATAATTGCACTCTTTTTTTCCTACTAAGTTTTTATCCTAATTGAGTTTTTATTGGTAAGGTTTTTAACGAGACAATCATAAATTACAAATTGAAAAATTAATTTTTTAAATTGTGTTAATAGTGTGTGTTGATTTTAATTTTTATATAATTTTAACACAAAATAACTTAATAATTATTCGCATACAAATACAATTAATAAATAATAG